CTACCAAGGTATCACTAAATTTAGATCAATATTCAATGGTATAACTGAGATGAAAATAAATATAGAAGAAATTACATTTAACAGCAGTTACTTACTTTCCCTGATAGTGGTCCTTGGACAAGTTTAGGATATTTTTGAGTCGATCCAGAACCATGTCCTAATTTACCGTAATCACCATCTCCCCATGAAAATACCTGACCTTCGAATGTTAGTGCCAGAGTGTGGCCATCCGATCCTAAAAATGAAGCAATTAAATTGTAATACCAAATAAGTTGTGATTTTTCAATAAATAAGAGATTTTTAATATCAATTTATCGAATTTCGAAGACTAAAACATGTGGGTATAGCAATTTCGTTTGTTGGTGTGATTTTCCTTGAAACCAAGGTAATTAGTACTGTATTTTATACTACATGAGCAAGTTGGGCGCAAGTTATATCAGAGACTAAAACGTGCAACTATGAATTGCCATATATCAAGCTATATTAACATATTCAGTTTTAATAGGGGTATATATAAAATCTGATTTTGATATAACAAGTAAAATGAAAATAATCCATAGAGATGTATTTTGGAATCACTATTTCTATTATTGTCTAGCTGTGAGTGCAGGTAGGCCTAAAATTTATAAATAGCATAAAAAAAATTCCTGGCACAAATTTTGGGAGAGTGCTAACTTTTTCTAATTGAATTATGCACTTTAAGTATACCGGTATACAGAACAGGGTATAGTATAGAACAGAGTGGTCCAAGGTTGTCGGCTCCGCGGGACACAAATTTATTTTTTCATTGTTTGCGGGCCACAATAGTGCCAAAAATAGGTAAACAGTGCAATACAAAATAAACACTTTTATTGTGCAAACACACAGTTATCAGACATAGCTATCCCAGGCTAATAAAATCCGCATTCGATTTTTAGTTTTCTATGATGCATATATTCCCGACCGAAAAGATAGAAAGCCAGTTAACAATTTAGACTAGCCAAGCACATTATTCAACTTCGCTAGTTGCCTCAGCTAGCCATAACACTAGTCAATTCAGTGACATTAGTGATGTAACAATATGTCAAAAGATTTTTATGATTAATTCGATTACGAAACAACACGAAATGCGATTTATCGATTACTCTCCGAATGTGACGCCGGCCACAGATAATGAAGCGGCGGGCCATATGTGGCTCACGGGCCTGGGTTTGGACCACCATGGTATAGAACAAATCAAAACCATTTCCTGCCATCTAAAATTTTTATCTATCAGTTATGGGGTTATGCAAGACGAACTACCTTTCCTATCTCTTTGCCCTATGTGTATAATGCAAGAATATTGTAGCATAATTTAAAAAGATAACTATTCTTTTTGATTCAAGATTCTTGCTGCACAAATGTATTTCTCTAGCATTTCGTCTGACCAGAGTCAGACTTCCACAGACAAGCCTATTTCAACTATGACAAGAAAATCAATAAAATACACTTTAATAATAGTTATCAACTTCTGAATTTGGTTTCTATTTTGAAAAATTAATTTGAAAACAAATTGTTGAAACACTATTGAAAACAAATCCAGCAATATATAACCATTATTTATGTGCCTTTCTTGTCATAGTTTTGACCTCTGACCTCTGCCAGGCAAAATGTTACAGAAATACAATTGTGTTAGTATGCAGCAGAACTTTTAAATCAAATATATTTCGTCATTTACCTTTAGATGATGATATTTTCTTAATCGGCAACAAAGGATCAAACTTCAATAATTTTGGTGTTGGTTGGTTATTTGAAGATCCAAGTCCTAATCTTCCATAACTTCCTTTTCCACAGGCCCATACTTGACCATTCAGTGATGTTACGAATGTACAATACTGGCCGGCTTCGATCTAATCATAAACACAAATGAAAATAAATTTTATATTTCTATAAACTGAACAACTTGTATACATTTAGTCGCCTTGGTAATAGGTGGCAGAGACGGCCTAGCGCAGGGGTGTGCAACCACTAGTACATGAGGGCCAAATACAAATAACTGGGTAAAACTGCGGGACGCATTTTTATTCAACATCGGCTCTCTAGTAGTTGTAGGCAAAAAAATTTTGTTGTTGAGAAAAATGAAAATTGTACACAATATGTATATAATGCAATACATATTATATTCTGTAACAAATGGGCCATTTCATTTAAATAAAAAGTCAACATCAAGGTATGTTGAACTATAACTTTAAATAGTTTTATCAATTTAAAATATAACGACATTATCAACCATACTTACTACTTGAGCTTGTGAAAAAGGTGCAATTTTCTTAGCTTGTAAAATTTTTTCCTGCATTGCTTCTCCCAACTGATGGCTGCTGTTGCTTCCCCATGCCAATACCTCACAATTTTTTGATCCATTAACTTTTTCACTAAATATAAGAAGTAATATATTTGTTTTTTTTTATAAGTATCAACTGTGAATAAGACCTTGAACAAGCATTTTCCTGATTAAACTAAGATTGGATCAGTCTACGATGCAGGTTGCATGTTTCGGTTCCAAATACCATGCTACAATCTCACCCAAGGTGAAATAAATTAGGTAGGCAATTCTGAACAGGGGAGATTCCGAGCTTTTAAAAAATAACTGCTCCTCCTTTGAATATTGTTATATATCAGTGGCCTACGACGGAGTGCAAGGCATGAATAATCATAGTATACAAAATATATATAAATATATTGTAGAACGCAAATACGGTGACAAAAAAAGAGGAGCCAGTCCATTTGGGACGTATTGTATGCGTTCCGTTTTTCTGTCAACCTGTATAAGACCAAAAAAGCAAAGGAATGCCCGTAAATTTCATATGAAATCAATTCATACTTCTTATGAAAGTCAAAATAGCTACCCGAACAGATGATCACCTAATTGTTAGCCAGTTGGACCCATCTATGCTATTATTGAAGGTTAAAGATCACAGGATAGAATAGTATTCACATATTTATCCCAGAGGAGAGGAAAGCCAATAAGAAGACTCAATCATAATATGGCGAACGACGGCCTCTCATCCGGTTACCAGTACATTATTTGCTTTCGGAAACATGGACTTGATTGTAGAGGAAGCCGTAACCGACCGACCAGCGGTTCTGTAAACCCTACAGCAACGAGGAGTCTACCAATCCTCTAGCACATAACTATCCCAGCATGTGATTCAAACCTGCAAACCCACATAGAGGTGCGGTGGCGAGCATATTCTTAACGCTTAGCACAATTTGCTTCACTGCCGGGCCAAAACAGGTTGAAAACAATACAACCCACCTCAAGCGATGACTAATAAATTGAGAAAACTTTGCTAAATTGAAAGAATAATGTTCCTTTTAAGGAACACAGCTGTAACTGTGTTTGCTTATGCAGTGCCATGTTCACAGTAGAACACTCATGATAACAAGCTATCCGGTACCTTATTCCAGTAAATGGTGTGCTGCAAGAGTTCGAATATTGCGACGAAAGTTTGGCAATGTCTTCCAATAAAATGAGAGCTGCGTTCTCAACATTGATAAATCCTGATTTGTTTACATCAAGTAATTTGATATTGAAATCAGTTTCCTGAAGAAATAAAACATAAAAGTATTACAGAAACAATTTGATTTGAATGAAAATGACTATATCAAAGTGGTGTAGAATAGTGATAGAGATAAAAAGCCAATAGGACATGTTGATCACATTGCAAATAGTGCATGTCAGATTTGGGAATAAATAGCCAGTTACTCGTATGTTTATTTAGGATAGCATGGGACTTTCATAGTCACCCTAAGGGAGAGGAAAGTATATAAGACGGATTAATAATATGGAAAATCATGGCTTCTCAACCAGTTACCAGTCTAATTCAGGTATGGAAATATTCAACCAGTCATTCATGTCAGATGTATGGGCAAGCTGCAACTGACCTGCGATTAGCGAATCACTTAATGACAGCGAGAATTTCAGCATTCTCTGGTACAAAATTATTCTATGTCATTCATACCTGTGAATTCACGCAAAGAAATCGTCGTGCCAATGGTTCCCTACACATGTAATATTATTCAATGATGCGGGAAAAATCATGAGACTTGACAAAATCAGAATTTTACCTCAAACACTAACTTTTACTTATAATACAGCGATATATTTTATTTGATAAAAATTAAAATTTTACTCAATAATACAAGCTCGTTGTGGAAGGTTGACAATATAATAATCAGCATCATAACCTCACATATTATATGCTGACATTTGAAGCTCATGCATGAAAATTGGCCATGTCGAAAATAAAAATAAAATGACTGCCACACCTCTCAAACCACTTTATTTCATGCATGTCATGCATGATAAAAAAAAGAATCTCATATATCATTTTAACCAAATTTCACAAAATTTTGAAAAAATATAAGACACAAGTACCAAAAAATATGTATTTAAAATAAGGAACAGGGATGATTGAATAGAGAGATGTTCATAGCACATCGCATAAATAAAATTCATATTTGAAGACAGTACTGGAATATACGCAAGGAAGCTATTATAAGTAAGTTCTACTATATAGAAATTCGCTTCTACTAAATTGAAAAAATAACTCAGAATAGTCTTCTGCATTGCCTACCAATTTATCACACCGCGATGCCATCATAGTTATTTTTAATGCTTCTAATAGTAGTTCGTCAACTATTTTAATCAACTATTTAATTCCGGCCAACTTTTTTAATCATAATAAAATGTCTATGAATGGACTGAATTGTTAAAGACCTCCATTTCAGATAACAAAAAATTTGAATATATTGGGAAAGAGCCAAACAATATACCAGTATTGGGGCCATTCCAAGCAAAAGTTGAATTCCATCAATTTTTTTAAAAGTGTAGTGTAGGTAATTTTTTTGTATTTTTTATATCAAATGACTTTTGAATTTTATTGGACTGCATTCCTTCTACCAAAAAACTTAAAATTTCACCCAGGTTTTTGATTGCTTTTAAAAAATGGCCTAAAATATAGAAATTTCGGTATAATTGACATATTTGGTGATGATTCGTGACACAAAGTGTTTGTATGTGTGATACAGTTATTTCATATGAAATAGACGCACTGAATTTAAGTTAATAAAGTTTAAATGTTTGCAGTGCTGTAGGACATTTCTTAATCCATTTAAAGATTTATAACCAGAATTTTAAGAGATAATCGAGGCCGCTGTTCCGAAGTGGGAAAATGTCCCGTAGTGTCACATCCTGTAGTGTCACATACAATATGCACATTATTGGCATGGATTTACAGTGTTACATTAAGTAACTTGAGCAACACATAGAGGGGTAGTTCAGCTACTGCACCTGAAAATATTATGGGCTCCTGCTGTACCATCGCGAAAATTTACAGCACAACACAATGTACTGTTAATGCATGGTGGATTTGCCGTCCTGTAGTGTCACGCTATATTTTACTATATTTTTTATATCCACTAAGTAAGTCTTGTGTGTAACTTTCTTGTAGTTTTGTTCAAACCCCATAAAGCAACTGATTGGACAATAACTCAAAACATGTAGCTGGCAAAGTAAAAATATATTGCATCTAACAACATGCAAAATTTCTGGAATTGTCCTGTAGTGTTACTTGGAATAGCCCATTGATGAAGTATTTCAGATATATTCCAAAGTAAGCATAAATGAAAAACAATTACCCTATATCACAAAACATATCACCCCTTATCATATATGTGCCTGACTAAACATGGCAAGTTTGAAGTAACATGCATTATGGATAATAATTAAAAATAAGTTGAAATAATAATTCATTCTCAAATTACCGTTGAATATTCAGAAGTTTGGGGATTGAAGCACTAAAAACAATTGTATATAAAAATAAAAGCAAGTTACACCAAATTTGAGATGAAACCAGGAGGAAGTTTCCCTCGTCAAGCCCCCAACCCTCTAAAATTTTCGAGAGATTGAAAAAGTCACTTATAACATGACATTGTTCTAATTAATATTGTCTTTTTTAACAGTGTCTGAAGTTGAACTAAGTTTATATTTAGTCTGACCATCAAGTCAAATGCTCAAAATGACAAATTTTCAAATGAATATATTCTAAATTATTCCTGGAGTCAAGAAGTTACTTATCGAATATAACCAACTGTGAATTCCATCAAAACCACTATATGGACTAAATGACATTAATATAATAAATTTAATTAGGTATGAAAAATTGAATAAAATGCAGTCAAGCTAGGTACAATATAACAATGCACATAAAATTTGAAGGAAATTGATATCACTACTAATTGATGAAAGATTTTCTAACTAGAAGTACCATATAATTCTTTTTTAATAATACTATTCAAAATAAATAAATAAAATCTTACCTCAGATTTCTTTATGTTCTTCAGTATTGATAGAATTAAGTGTGTAGAGATGACAGCAGGATCAGCTTTAAATAATTGAAAAACAAAATAAACATATATAGTAATTAAATTAAAAGTATCCTATCAGTAACATAATGATGATCATATTTATCCTGGAGAGGAAAATCAATAAAATGGTTCAAATAATATAACCACGCTCTACTGTCCGAATACCAGTTTAGTTGCAATTGGATGGTAGAAGCAGCCGGAACCATAATTTGTTGCAAGAATTATCCATCATGGCATTCCAACACTGTGAATCCACGCAGTGTTAGCGATGCAATGGAATCTGCTGTTTTTAAAGAGACGCGCATTCGCTCACTCAAGATAAAGGAGTCTCGAAAGTTGTGAAACATCAGTACTTCCCAACCTTTTCTTCAAGCAAACCAATTGCTTTAAAGTGAGAAAAAAACTGTGTTTGTTTGCCATTAGCGATTTTTTCAAATCAACGTGTAGTTTTATTTAGCAAAATGAATGCAGCCAAATTTTACGCAGTGATACTTTCCACACATGCAATCACTATCATGGTACCACTTCAATTACATTATCAATAACAGAACTCTCCCATACCTTGTGACTTTCTTCTTATGGTTGACATATTAAGAGCCATTTCAATCCATTCAAGTAACTGTGGAAGTGATCCACGTTGATATGCAATCGTTAAAAGAAGTTCACAAGCAAGCCTACTGCAATCCTGATCAGCACCAGAATCTGGCATTGAAGCATGTTTAAGGAACTTGCATACCTGAAGATAAAGAACAAATGAATTTTTTTGGAATAATGCAATTTGAATTATAATTGAAAATGTGTTTAAGGGTTTTCATTATTGACTGATTAAACCCAGAACATACACTTAGATTCAGTCAATCTTCAATAACTGGTGCATAATATACCACCACCATGAAACTATAATTTCAGTAGCTCTTGATAAATAATTGCCCATCCTTACCCACCACCTAGCATGGTGCTTTATACCTTGCTTATAACCTAATTATGATGAAACGATCTATACAAAAAGTAAATCAGAAATTATGTGTGGCTGTGACTGCTTGTATAAACCCTGGTTTAAAACAAAAAATTAAAAATAAAATATATCATGTAATAATAAACTGTATTAACATGAAAGTGCAGTTATAATTAATATAACTCTGGTCCAAAATACATTTTGATACTCAAGAACAACAATTTTCTGAATAGTGTTTTACTGGTGATATTTATTAATGATTTTAGAAAACCTCACTTGGGAGTTTCAGAATTTAAGACAAATTTAAGTCTTCTGGTCAAAGTACAATCAGGGTGTAGAGAATAGGGTGGTTAGTGCTTTAATTCTAGTCAGTTCACCAAATGTTGGACACTATGTGTACCCATGGATCGCTTGACAATATGGTAATAGGTGGGGTTTTCGAGGTTATTGTTTTGAAAAAAAAATCATTTTCCCAATTTCCTAAAGATAGCATAAAATAGACTTGTATAAGGATAGTGTCTATTTTCGATGACTGTTGTTTTGTATTTGCGTCAGCAATTTACTTAATGAAACAAACCCCAGACTAGCCTGTCTATGTTGACAGAGCTCATAACAAATTTGAACAATGCTGGAAGAAAGTAAATAATATAGGCCTGCTCCAGACAGTAGACAGTTACACATGATCAAGTACATAGTAAAATGGATTGATTACAGGTACAAATAAATGTAGTGCTCACATTTGGGGGCGCTCCTAAAGTGTGTGTACCAATATGGAGGTAACTAATTCGAGTTGCCTATTTTACATCAAGTTGTGTAAAAGGAATGAAACCTATGGGCAGGGGGATATTCACTTGGCTAGCAAAGACAGTCCAAGAACTTGTAATAGAACTAAAATATGGAAAATCGTAATAAAATTATGGCCTAACCCTAACTCGGTACACACACTATGGGAGTAACATCATTCTACCTCAGATAGGCAATCCATACCAACAGTAGGTATTTTGTTAGAGTTGGCTAGAGTTAACGGAGGCAATTCCGACATAATTTGTATGGCAGTACTTAACGTATCATTGCATAGTGATGACGTCAATAAAGGTTGGTTCCAGCTGACTCGAATAAGAGAGAAAACGAGTTGAAGTCCACTTCTTACACCTAGATACAAGATAGCACAATTAACGGTAGTATTTTAATATTTATTCTGGAGAGGGGAAAACTGATAATAAAACACATAATGTGCAGAATCATGATATATTATTAGTCCGTGTCGGGTTCGAATAGTTCACCAGATATTCCATTCAGATGCAAGAAGTCTTTGTCGGCCCAGGGTTTCATGAACCCTTATACCCCAGGGGGGATTCCAGAAGTTTCCTCACACATAATTATTCTCGACAAGAGTTTAACTTGTCACAAGGTACAATGCTAAGGGTGTTACAGATAATTCTTTGCAAAATGTGCCATCCATCAGGAGCTATTGAAAAAACAGACCTCCTGAAGTATGCGCACCAAGATGGCGCACAACCTGAACTCAGGTTTTGTACCAGGTTAGGGTTCAGGTTATGCGACATTTTGGTGCGCATACTTCAGGAGTACCGAAAAAACTATTATGATGTAAAAAAATTAAAACGAACAAAATAATATAGTAAACTACAAAAAAAAGCTAGAAAAACACCTAACTTAAAAAATTTTGAGAAACGCTACGACTATAAAATGAATTGAAATTTTGAAATAGGATTCTGTAATGATGATACTGTGGGCCGATACAACTCCACAACAAATATAGAATCTAAGCTCCTGTCAAATTGCCACAAGTCATGAGTCATGACCAGAAAAGTCGGAACTCGGAAGGAATTTTCACATGCTAGATGGAATATTTTTGGCGCTAGACAGGCTATTTCTTTTTTTAAATCCTGTCTGCACCCCTACATATGACTCCCAATGTACAACCAAATTAGTTAAACCTTTCATTGCCAGAGAATATTATTTTTCCCCTGTATGATCAATCATAAATGATGCGGTAAACGGACAAAACTTACCCAATTCAATTAAAATATCTGTTGGATTTCTTTGCAATGAGGTTGATACAACTTCAGTTTTTGTCTGACTAGTTGAACACTGTGCTTCCAAAACATTTCCCTATATATTTAAAATAATTATTAGATAAAATTATCAAAACTTACATAGAAATGAAAATCCTGAATTATCCTGAACTAATTTTAGAATTGTAAAATGGAATATATCGATAGTTATACCAAGTCTCCAGAAAAATCTTGTAAAACATTTTGTGGCATACCAACCTGAAAAGGGATATTGCGCAATAATAATTTGATTTTTAGGTAACCTTGAGTGAGCAGGAGATTAGACTGGCACAAAACATGTTTAAAAAGTCTCTCAAACTTGCAACAGCTTAAGAACAAATCAAAATATTAAAAAAATTCGGGATATTGTAATGCTCACTTCTGAATTCTTCTTCATAGGTTCTGTATCATGATATTTTGTGTGGTAGGCGTAATAAATTCTTTGCAATATTGCGAGACGCATGTGTAATTTCGATTCTGACAAGCATTCATTGCTAACATTTCGTGCAAGTGAAAGCTGAAAATAAAAAATATATCATAAGAGAGACTTCATTATCTATATTAAAAAAAATCTTAAACAAAAAAAGAATTGCACCAGTTTTGGGGTATATCCATTTCATAATAGTTCAAATTTCTCGCTCTGCGTACATACTACTGCTGTTCATAATATATGCTCTTTATAAGTTATCAAATGGATATCTATACTTTTAGTAGGGTTCTTCGGACAGAGCTTAGTGAGGTGTATTAAACAGAACTTGGAGCATGAACAATTCCTGGTCTAAGGAATAGCAAATTTAAACAGGTTCAGCGAAAATAGAATAATCTTAATTGTGGGCATAAGTCAAAAAGCGGACTGTCAAAAACTTGAGCAATTACTTCTTAGCCATTTGTTAGTGACACAATAGCTTTTTGACTCGATATACGATTATGATAAAAATGTGGATTAAAATAATCAAATTTCAATAAAGCCTAAAGAAGAATCGCGTGCTGATTCCAAAATTATTCCTTGAATCACAGTCTAGCAACAAAGGGTGGCAGTCATCAGCTGCTCTTCAAGTAGTTCTGTCGAATGTACAAAGACATTTATTAGCAATCACAAACACCACTCGAAAGATCAAATGAGTCTTGAACTCGATTCATCATGAATAGTAAATTGCTATTCAGTTAAGATTGGTACATTGCCACTGACATTTTTTCTCAATGCTATTTCAATGTCAAATACTCAAAATTAATTCTAATAATTCAATGACGCTAAATGGTGATATAATATTCCATGATTATGATTGATCATTATCATTTATCCACTGTAAAACGGGATAGGTTTCACTGTAATAATGCAGCTACACTGGCTCTAATTCTCGAAAAACCTTTGAGATATCTTCTGAACTCAATATCACTCCGGCTCATCCTCAAATTTGCCACCAAGTGTGTGTAAAAAACAAATCAAATATTCGAGACTAGTCAAAATTAATTACATTCACGATTTACTCATGAACATTTTTTATTTTGAGAATAAATGAAAATTAAATTTTAAAAATCTTCATTTCGATCAATTGAAGTCCCACATAAAATAGAGCACCAATGTATTTGAATGTCTTCTCTATAACTTTCCTACATTTCTAAATTGAAAGTGATATTGAATATACGTTGAGTTCTGTGTATTCTTTGATAAATCATGAACCAGTATAAATCAATCCAATACAAACAAATTCATTAATACTATCTGAGGATGTATTCAAGATTTTTATTTAGTTTCTCCCCTTCCCCCCCACCACTTGCTTGTAGCAGTGTGATGAAAGAAATACCGGTATATACCAGTCTTCAGCTAAAACAAACGAATTTGCTACTCTTACCTGGCTTTTCATTAACATATCTATATAATGATGTTGCTCTTTCGTTGTCGGAGGATTGCTATCATAATCTGGAAGATGAAGAGGTGGAACAACGAGTCCTTCTCGTTTCGTTACTGTAATTTCTTTGTTTTCAACCAATTTTTGAAACTCTTTTTCTAGCCCAGACCTGAAGTAAAATATAAATTGACGCGAAAAAACAGAACCAATACAAATGAACTGGGTTGTGTTTTATTACCCTATATAATTTGATTGTTATTTTTTTTTAATTTGCTCGTACGAAAAAAAGTCCAAGCTTTAAAAAAGCTTTAAGAAACCATGTAATTACAAGAGATATTATTAAAAACTACATACTTCCGTATATATCACCGCATATAAGTCGACCCTAAAACGGTTCCAAAACAGTGAATTTATAAAAATTTGCATATAAGACATACAAATCATAATTTGTCGTGAAGCATATTGCAACAAATGATTGCAGAAGAGAATTAGCGTGATTAGAGTTATGTACATATAAGCCTTCCCTTAGATTGATGCATTACTTCACGATTGACATGACACTTCAACGGCACTTATCTTAACCAGGGCATAATCAAATGGGGCAACAATGCTGTCAAGTGTCCATTATTTTAAAAAATAGTAGTTGTATGAATCGGTGGCAGTTTATACAGAGCCATATTTACATTCAGGGCATAAAAACGCCCATAAAAACAAAATACAATCAGAAATCAATTTGTCACAATTTTAACTATACCACCATAGAGTACAGAGTCCATCAATAGGATGACAACCCTTCAATTTTCATTAAACAAATATACCAACCTCTTGTGAATTGAGAGTGGACTGACGCTAATCCAATCAAAATTAAAATGATCCAACCATTTTGATTTATTTTGCAATGAATCATCTTCTTGATTTCCATCCATATTTGATAAATTAATTTTATTTCACTAATTGTAAATATGAATATAATGTTCTATAGAACCTACTGTATATAGTATGTACATTATTTTACTTACTACACCTAAATAAAAATTATTACAATTTTACAAAAAGTAATATTAATAATATTAATAATGAAAAATGTCTCCAATGAAGACAAGCCTACGCAACTTCTAATAATAACTTTTTTTTATAAATATGCAAAGAAAAACTGTCACTTATTTTTCTTCTGTTTTGACTATTTAACGATGGAATAAACATAATATGTGACAATAATGAAAGAAGTTTGGGAACATAAAAGTATAGCCATTTTCAAACCATAAGATATTTTTGCCAAGTAATAGTCATGAATAGCATATTAAAAGTAGAAATGCCCCATGCCCAAATAAAAGGCATAATAAAATATAAACAGTATCCATGACAAAGCCTACAAATAAATCCAGTCCAAAATAAACATTTTTCTCGATATCTTTCATATTATAGAAAAGGGAAATAAGAAAGACCTAAATTTCAGTTGTCAAAAGCATCATAACATTGTATTATTACTCTATACAAAATTAAAATAATCCATCAAAACATGCTTATTTTGAAACATATTCGAAAAAAAAAAATGTGGAAAAAAGTGTTGACTGTTCAGAATATAGGTATTATCTCAATGTTGTAAACACGCTGTACTGTTGGTACAATCAGTAGAAATAAATTTATATAAGAGTCAAACAATTATTTACAATCATTTGTGGGGATAGCCAGAAGGAATCGAAAATTCTTATATATACATATGCATTTGAATTAAACTATATTCAATATAGTAAAATTTTGATTTCAGAATATTTTTAATCAAAATATGTTTTTTTGAGCATTATTTTGATGCCTGGGTATCAAGACCAAAATTTTGAATTTTTCAAATTTGTGAAATCAGCAGGAAAAAACGAGAATATCGGTCGGAGACCGAAGACTTATCGATCTTAGATCGGTAATTAGTTAATTACTCGCTAATTATACGACATAATTAACCCAAAATCTATAGGCTTCTGGTCCGAGGTAAGATGCATGCACATGCAAAATTTGGAGCAGATTCAACCACGCGTTCGTGAGATATCGCGTTCATCTAACAGACAAACAGACAAACATACAGACAGACAAACAGACAAATACCTATCAACATACTTACCGATCTTAAGATCGATAAGTAACAATACAACAAGGTTATCTTAACTATTTAATTTATTTTTTATGCAGATTTAATCAGATTTTATTAAGACAATAGTCAAAAATTTCCAAAAAATTAAAAGAAAATTAAAACAAATGTTGTCGAGTCAGTCATTTTGACAAACTGAGAATTTGTTTATTCTCAACTAGAGTGAACTAGATATCTTTTATTTAAAAATAATATACTATGGCACATATAGCACAGGTGAACACATAGGCCTATAATATTAATGTTTCTGAATTTCACTAATATCACAATGTCAATGCAATTTCATAAACAAATAATAACAAAACATAAAATATTCATTACTACCGTAAGTGGAACAGCATGGAATTCAGTATACAAATAATGATATCTGAAGGTATAGAAAAAATTCAAAATGGAGAATTGTAAAAGATATGGAATTTGGACCATCTAAACATCAAAACGAACTGTTTTTAGATAGAATTGTCTTTCATTGCAGTATCATTCAAATGAAATGAGTAATTGTAAGTACAGGGTGTCCATAAAGTCTCTTTAGAGTTTCAATTTTGTTATGAAGTCAGGCCTCAATATATCTCAACCAGAATTGTTGTTTTTTAATCAGTAATTGTTCAAATATTTTTACTTTATTCAAAAATTAAGATATCTGTGAGGGCCAAAACAATATATGATATCGATAAATTTCCTTTGCAATGTAAAAAAAATTTAATACTTCGTGGACACCCTATATAATGCAATACTTGGGCAGCTTAGATCAGGTTATGTGCAAACTTGAATCAAAAACAGCTGCAAATATATTTCATACCGGTATTTAAACTGAGAAAGTGTGACATCTAATTAATGGAGTGATTAATAGCCTAGCGATTAGCACATTAGGTGTAAACATGTTGGTAACAAACGTTGGAAATTTAGAGTCAAACCCCATGTCTACCAGATGATACTTTGCATAATAAATTATAAAACGGACGCCAAACAGGAATCCTATTGAAACATTATGCTTATGCCCACGAAATATTTGATAGAAATCAAATGAAGACAAGTTTTCCTGTTTCAACTTCAATGTGTAATTATTGAAACTTTTTTAAAAAAACACTAATCTGAATGACTCCTCAAATCAAAAAGTTGAAATATTATTCAATTTTGAAACAATTTGAAAATTATTTTGAAATTCGTTTTGTACGACTTTGTTTTGAGATTCTCAAGTAATATGTAACATAGAATCCACTCTAAAGTAGTGTAGCAGAAAAAGATGAAGACCTTTTTATATATTGCCACAAACAAACGCTAATAGGTGCATCATATCTTGATAATGACACTGTTATCAGATATGACACATTGACACACCTCTGGTTTAAATCCCAAGCACCTCACCCCCCCTAGGGTGTAAAAAATTGGATAGGCAATGCTAAATCGGAAAGATTCCAATCCTTCAAATAATACTAGATCCTTACACATAATTGCTTGTATCTGGCTTTGTACATAGTAAAGAATACAAAATTTCAAATATCAAACGATGTCTACAAATATCATCTACAAAATGAAATAAAAATAATAATAACCATGACGAGTTACATCAGATTGTTCAGTGTTTATTTGTAATTTTAAAAACAAACAAAAAATATAGTTACAGTGTGAATCAGATTACTTGAAACATAACACGGCATTACACATCATCGATGACAAACAAATACATTGTATTGATGAGACATATAGAAATCGTCACAGGCGAAAGAATAAAGAAGATATCACTACTATGGGAAAGTTGGTGGGACTCAAATTTAGTAGAACAAAAGCTGAAAAATCAAACTGAAGAAAAATTGAAAAATGGAAATTTTGACAAGTTATACTAAATGAATCAATGAACTGATACTCGAAACATTACTGCCTTTTCAATACATTATAACGAAGTGAACTCTGCAAATGCCCTGATTTTCTTGCACAATGGGACAATTTGCAATCTTGGAAATCAAATGGAATATCTTAAAAGCAGCTGTTCCCAACCCCAGGGGGTAAACAGAGCACTCGGAAAGGGTCCACAATGGTACACGAAAATATCACTATAAATACCACTGAGATGATAAGCAGGGGCCATGAATGATGTGAGGCTACGTGCCATAAAAGGTTGGAAACCACTGTCTTAGAGTGTAGAAATCACTAAATATATTCAGATAGCCTACAAGAAATGTTTCAATATTTTGGAATGTGATTTATTCACAATGCAAGATGGGAAAAGTGCAAGTAATAAATCCAAATCATTAATTAGCATACAGTCAGAATGAGAAAGGTTATACTATATTCCAAATACATTCTTATAATAATATTCATTTGCTAACTTTTCAAGAAAAAACTCAATAATTTAGCTGCAACCAATTAAAGATAGGGAGGAATCAAGAATTTAAATATTGGTATATCGAATATAAATTTTGAATAGATTTAAATATTCATTTCATTTTGGGCATCCCTAAATCAGGAATTAGCCTTTATTTATTAAACATTTTCTGACTTAAAAAAACTAATAATTTAGCTGCAATCAACTAAAAAGAGGGCACCAGTCACTATGCATCTTTCACGCACCTACACTACTTCCATTGCTGAATACTTATCGCAAAATGCTGAGCAAAATGAAAACACTTGCAATTACAAGGACTCACAGTAAGAGTACTCGAAACATTTGCATGCATTATGTGATTACAACCATTGAAATCAAACTAATAATGTTCAGTGTATTATGTATGATCAAGCATGCAAGTAATCTTGTGTTTTGATAGCATTGATAAACAAGCTAAGTTTTTTCTGAAGGAGGCAAAACAAATCTGTTTGACCTTCGACCTAAATTGAATAGCACTTTTTCTGATGAAAAATTGATAATTATACTCAATAAACAGCTTTTTTTAATAAAGACCATCAAAGGGAATTATACAAGGCAGAATTCAAGACTAACTATACTGAACTATGAAAAAAAGATTCAATTTTGGATGGTACAAAAAAATATTAAATATATGATAGAAAATAATTGAATTATGCCATGTTTAACCATATTAGCAACCATAGAATAATGTGAATTAAAAACCTTGCAAGAATTAACAAAGAAAAGCACAGTTGGAATAATGAGCACCAAAAGCATGAACACAATTAAAGCCCTTCCATTTACCATAAGCACAATGCAAAAAATCACAGTAAATTAAAAGTAATGTGAAAGACATTGAATAAATATTAAAATATGTTAGACTGGATGTTGTTTTCTAACGCTTTAAGTAACAAGTGTAATCAGTACCCGAGTAACTCAAGTAAATACTCAAGCAACAGGATTATTTATTTGGGGATAAAAATTTTAGGAACAAATTATTTGAAGCGATGGTTAGCCCCAAACAAAAAAATTTAAAGAAGTTTCAAGCTTAAATTTTCGTCCAACCAAAACTCATAATTATCAGAGTGTTAATACCAGATATAATGCCTGTCTGAGTAAGTCAGAGTGTTATTACCAGATATACTGCCTGTCTGAGTAAACCTTTGTCAGGCAAAACATTACTGCAAAACATAAAAATTGTGAAAGTGCGATACAGGGCCTTCGGACCACTTAATACAGGTGTTATGATTCTTGCTAAAGTTGAATTGCAGTCGGCGCATTCAGACCCACTACGACAAACGGGGGTTGGGAGAAGCAGTATTTACACACCAGTTCAATTAAACACATAAGCTGTAATATTATAAATTTATAACATAATCTTGTAAACGCATATACCAGACATAACTAAATTCACAAACAATAAACTTTTTCTCAGCTGAATATTAGAGCCGCACACTCCAATCTTAAAGTTTTAGTCATCTGTGGAAACTATTAAAACATTCAATGCTACATATTATACATAGAAATGTTGTCCCATTCACCCAAAAAATTATTTAATTTACTAATCAGAAAGATACCGTATATATCATTCAGTATAAAATTCTATATTTTTCGCCAGGTCTACCACAAATAATGGTACAAGCAAAAAATTATACCCATGACTACGGGCGGGAAAGATAGGCACCTTTCCGCGGGCCGTACAATTTTTCCTTGTGGGCGGCATTTGGTCCACGAGCCGCAGGTTGCACTTTCCTTGTGGGCCGCAGTATATTCAAAAAAAAATCTGGAACAACCATATACTCACATTTTAAGTAATGAGTACTGTCATCCCATTTGCAGTGAGGACAAGTTTCTTTACATTTGTGTGTAAGAAGCTTTTCCATGCTCTTTATGTGAAATCTTTTTAATCTAGCGTACTGCTGATCAATATATTAAGTTCTCTAAAGTTGCTTCCTGCTTTTCCCGGCTGTTGTATCTTTTTTTCAATTATTGTCCTTATTTGTACCACACTTTCATGGCAGGAAAAACACTTTTTATATCTTTCTTCTCTCGACAAATCTACAGCGGAATTTGGTGGTGCGGATATATTAGATTTGATCAATGGACCAAAATTTCTCAACACTATTTTAAGAGCTCCACATGCAGCAGTCACGTACGTTTCATATTTACTTGAGAGTAGATCGTGTATTTCAGGAAGCATTACCTAATTAAAAAAAAATTCATGATAAAGTAATCATCATTAGCACTCCCCAAGCAAAAATTATATATTTTGTTCACACTTGACAGAGCGTGGATCAATTATAATCCTGTAAAGTTATCATTCAATCATGCTCGATGCTCAACTAAAAATATTTAGAACCGGTACCTACAAGCCATATAAAACCTTATGCAAAATGCCACTCATTTGTAACTATTACCTGTCAGGCAATGATTTAATTTTGTATTCTGTTGCTGAATTAGTCACAGAATGATGAAATAAATGATGAATGATATAATAAATACTGATGTTTGTTGACAGGTAATATGATTGATTTATAGAAACGCTAAATTATCTGAGAGATATCAACATGTACAATGTAGATAATTATATGATAAATGGTTATCGCACAGTAAAAGTATATGGATATTTTGTAGATGTACCGTAGTCTCTATTATTGTTTTGAAAGTAAAACTCAAGACTCATCATTCAAATTTTTGATCGATATTTTGTTTTAATGCGAGTAGGCTACTCTAAGTGTCGAAAACGATTTTTTACATATATTAGAACTTAGAAGATGCAAAAGGAAAAAGAGAAGTATGGCTAGTATCGACAACAATGGGTACCGTGACCCAAATTAAGCCTTTGCGTGACCCACTGGACAGCCAGTATCCCCAGTTTGAAGAGTGTGTGTCGAAATAGATTTTTTACGCTCATTAATGAAGGCAATAGGAAAAAGAGTAAACAAGTATGGCTATTTTCAACAATAAAGGGAACCGCGCCCCCCATTGAGCCCTCATGTGACCCCTAGTTTGAAGAGCCCTGGTTTAAACCATAAAAAATAAACTAATAAATAACCAAAGGCATCAATACCTGACAAAGATCTAAATTCCAAAGTGAGGTCTTGCTGTTCAGTACAGATAACATGTCAACAAGCAGAGCCTGATCTTTCATTCTGATGGCAGTATTCATAGATGTCATCACGTCGCCACCTGTCCACATCGCTCGAACAATTTCAAGATTTTTATGCCGTGCCGTAAGTACGAGTCTCATAGATTCAAATCCCCGCTTGATTGTAGCAACCGCTTCTGTATCTGTTATATTTTCTTCCGTTTTACCAATAATAGGTTCTTTTTTAGCTGGGAGAAAAGCATTCATATCTAAACCAACTGGATCTTCTCGCTGCGCTGGAACTATAGTAGATAATCTTGATTCTTCCAATGGATTCACTGATACATTATTATTAGAAGATACAAAAGTATCGGGACTTGATCGTTTCTTTTCTAATTTTTCAGGAATATTTTGATCTCTCGTTGGGACATCTTCAATAGGTGATACTCTGCCATAATTTAGTCGAACAGGTTGGGATGGTGTAGAATTGGTCGCAACACTTTTGGAAGGTTGATCCTTCTCAGGTTGGAATTTGTCGTTTTTAGATGCAGGTTCAGGGGTCAAGTGAGGTAGTATGTTTGAAGCTTGATGTGGAGATGGTGTGGGTTTCACATTACGATTATAATGCTCGGGTTTATTGACTGAAATACTGGTCGGCCTTCCACCTGAAGGTGACCTTGTTAAGGTACTTTTTGGATTAAAAACTTCCTTTTCATCAACTTGTAATGGTCTATCTTCACCAATATTAAAATTATTATTTTGGTTTACTTGTGATTCAGCCGGGGGAACTGGCATCCTATCTTTTTTATCGTTTTTATTCTCCGATTTAACCGCATTTGTCGCACATGAAGTAGGTGGCCTATGAGTAACATGAGAAGGCCTAGAAAAGGGACTGACCGCTGTAGGAGGTGGTTGAAATGGCAGAGCACTATTTGGAATTTCAAACGCAGCAGTTCGTACTTGTGTAAGATCGACAACATAATTGGAAACCAAATTTTGTGAAAATGTAGCAGATATCAACTGTCGATTAGAAATTACAACGTCATCGGGTCGGCCCCATTTTACCATAAATGAATCAGTGGTTCGGGGTTCTGGCTCCCATAAATATGCATGACACATATCTTGTGAAATGGAGAATAAACAATGCCCGCTTTCAGAGAAAACTACTTTGAGAACAGCACTGGCTTGTGGCTTAGAACTAGATACAATTTCAAACTGTTCGACATCATATACCTTCACAGTTTTATCTCGGCCACCAGTAGCCATTAATAGTTCATTTGGATGAAACTGCAAACAGGTTATAGGAGCCCCATGGTCTTGAAACTGATGCAATAACTTTCCAGCAGTGAGATCCCAAATCTTACAAGTACCATCATCGGATCCCGAAGTCATCCATCGTCCATCAGGACTAAATTGTAAAGCATTAATCGCACCTTCGTGACCGGTGTAAGTAAAAATACAGCCTTTTCTACGATAATCCCACATTTTAACTTTGTGATCCAAAGATCCAGATGCTACGAATTCTCCTATCGAGTGAAAATCGAGGCAACTAACTCCAGCTTTATGGCCTGTTAAATTTCTTGTTACTTTTCCTTCTGAAATATTCCAAATTCGAAGTTGGCCCGACCTTGATCCAGCACAAACTAATTCCTCTGTACCATTGAAAGAAAGAGCTTCAATTGATGAGGAATGGCCAGTGAACTTCATGATATACTGGGGGTTTCCAACTGCCCATAAATTAACATGGCCATCTTCTCCACCTGTGGCCATTACACGGCCAGACTTTTTACCGAGAGCTGCAGTGGTGAGGGCCGTGGTGTGGGCAGAAAACTCCTGCAGCAGCCAACTCCGCTTCGCTGAAGCCATATTTCCTTCGTTAGACAAGATGATTTGAATATATTACATATAATTTTACCAAATCTATAAAAATAACCATTAAAATGAATCAAATATCCATGTAAGTTTAAGTGTCTGTGGGATTGCAGGATTGGGTGTATTGCTGTATTGAAGGCAAATATCGAGATCGGAATATAGGCCTAGGTACATCTGTACATACTTGAGGGTTGGAGAGTGTTAAGTACTTTATCTGTTCAGACAGTCAGGTGGCAATAAATAAAAGCATTATTACAGTAACTGGGAATTTGGTACTGTATCATCATGTAAACTCTTTAGCAAATACAGAAACAGCTTTTTTACACCATTTATACACATCAACTGTGAATTTTAGAGACTACATATACCGGTAATAGTGAATATTGAGCAATGGGACTAACTCTGATGATCATATCGCTCCTCCTAGTCTAAACCGAATAACTTTATATTTATGTTTGTTATTTTTATTGTTGCAATGCTTGTTTCCTGGTTGCCGAAACAATAAATCCCTCTACTGCTCTATCAAAGTTTTGGCAAATCTCCTGAGTATACCCCGAAATAGGGATTCAAATGATATATTATTCTCATAGCAATGTTACATAATACATTCATCCTGCGGTTATCGATTTACCCCCGCCCTGTCCCCGAACCCGGTCAGGACACCTGCGCACGAATTCCACTGTTGAGTTTTGATTTATGGTCGCTAGGCTTCAATTACCCATTTATTTTTGCTCAACGGCGACAGCTAGAGACGACAAATATTCGCGTAAAGCCCGACCTGCACGACGCTAGCCTTCTTGGCTGTACTTTTGTTTCAATATCGAGTGCTATTAATTTTTTGTTATTGAATACAATGCGTGCCTACCGATCGTTTAGTAAAACTTTTGTTGTTGTTGCTGTTGTATAAAAATATCCTTTCTCGGTAAATAATGGACCAATCTATTTTGAATTTTCAATTAACTTGTACAGTAAATATATCTTGTACACGAAGAATTGTACAAAGGATATCTTCAACAAAGTCTTGGCAAAACAAGAAACATGAATTCAACAGAAGAAATATTTAATTTCAAGGAAAAATTTTGTACCACGAAGTTACTAGAGACGTCTAGATTTCTACACGACTATTAAGTTCACGTTTGTTTTTTTTGCCTAATCTGAATATTTACCTTCTGTAAACCTTTTCGAACTGACAATCGATGTTCACATTATTTTGTATACGTTATATATAGTTGATGTTATGGCAATTACTCGATAGTTTGTTTTTTATGGTTTTAAGCAAGAAATGCCGGCATAGGTTCACACATTATCTTTTGGAAACAATTTGTTCAGTTGTTTGTTTACATGCCGCCTCATACATCGCACACACACCCGCTATTCAGTTCACTATTTTAGTTATAAATAATTGCACGTAATTTGATTACGAGGTTGGACGCCTGAATATTGACCAATCGTTTGTATTCATGTTTATGTTTGTTTTGATTTGTTTTTTTCTTCTTCGGTGAGTGAACACGTTTAATACGTTATAAACTTATTTTTAGGTTTTGTTCACTTTCCAGATTCTTCGCCTTTCTCTTTTTTGTGTATTGTTTTATTTTTTGCGAATGAATCGAAATAAAATATATCTATCTATCTAACTTGACAATTGACATTTGGCAATTTTTCTGCCCTGTGGAGACGATATTTTAACCAGAACTTTTTGAATTTCACGAGAATAGGTGGCGACTGACATCTTCCAGAAAATATAATAACAACTTTTATTCACACTACTCTGCCTATATTTTGGCCATTCGTAAAATGTTGGAATATATGTATGTATGCTTATATGTATGCTCTTGCTGTATATATGTACAAAGTTTATTTCGTCGTTCATAAAATCACAAAATAATACGTAACACAAAATATTATACATTAACATTACAATGATATATTTCATAGCAATTGACAGGAAGTTGCCAAGGGTTGAAAATGGTCACCGTGAGTCTGTGACACCAAAATTTAGTACGAGTCAAAATTTAAACAAAAGAGGCTCCAGACACAAAGAGAAAATTTCCAAATGATTTAACAATAAAGTGAGAAATAATATAAATCTTTACATATGATTTGAATAGGAGAAAATAACTCAGCAGTCAGGGAGAAAACGATTAGGACACGGTAATGTTTCATTATATTATTTAGCTGTACTTCTGTACGATTACAAGGCTTAAATTTTTATTTTATGACACATGCAACATCAAAATGCACAATAATTTTTTTCGAGAAAAATAATACATATGAACGTATTTACAACAGAACTGTATGGTGGTTTTTGGTCAATTCAAATTTGGTCGAGTCAATAAAATACCCGGATATATCCGTTATCTGGATAGTAAGAATTATATGTATCCGAACTAACCCTAACTCGCGCCCATAAATTTAAACATCGTTCTCTTGGTCTGGAGTCCATTCTTTGTCTTCAATGAACGCTCCCTTTTTAAACATTTTATAAAATCAAAAACGTCTTAGTGAAGTCTTCAGATTTTTTGCAACGCTTTCTCCGTTTTAAACCGTGGACTATTAATGCAACTGTGTTAGGCTATTTTCTTTTTAACGAGATATTTGGCAGCTACAACATTTGCTAATGAATGTTATGTATTTCAACTGCAAATCTGTTTTCTATTTTAAAGTGAGAAACCCACACTTTAACATTTTTGATCTTAAAAGATTTTGAGTAGGCTATGTCACTGATGACAGACTTCAATTTTGATATCCACTAATACAAAATGAATGTTCCAACGCTTATTTTCTAAATAACAAAGTTGTTCTTGTTTACAATTCGACTCCGAATACACCCGTGCCAAAACTTGCTTTTTATGCGTTATGTAAATTCTTACGTAAATCAGGACTTGATTGCTATTGGTGTTTGGGAAAACGTTTTCGGCCGGTAATGAATTTCCTCATGTGAAAGTGGTCCACGACACCAAAATTGTTTGGTCAGGCCTGGACTAGAAAATAATAGCTGAATTGTCTATAATCAATTATAGTCACACAATTGTTCCAGTTTTCATTTATACTAAGAGTCGAACACATAACCTCAAAATACATAGCAAGAATTCAAGGGGTATCACCGTTTTGAGGAAACTAGGTTTAACATTATAGAATTCCTGACTTTTGTAAAATAGTATTAGAAGAATCAAATTCCTCAACTTCTTGTATCCGTGTCAACCCACCTATAAATCGAAAGCAATACAATTTCAATTTATGAAATTTCGATTAAACGAGAAAAGCATGAAATATTGAATCAAGCGTGTATAAAACCCAGACTGTTCCCGACAATTATACTCCATATAAATAAGCAGTTTTACGATTATGTTGTTTGACTGAAATTCAGCTCTGTAAAATCGTTAGGTAGGCTATTCATTAAGTGATGGGTAGGTTATGCATTTTATCGTTCACGCTCAGTGCGTCGTTTTTATTATTATTAATATATATCTTTATTGTGAGGGGAAATGGGGCGAGGGTAGTTATATCACAACAAAGACTTCTTTATAGAATAAAGAGCGTAGTCTACATCAAGTTTAGTGACATTATATATATATATATATCAGTGGCGGCGCGTGGTCATTTTGACAACCGGGGCAAGCTACTGCGGGACCAAGTCACCCCCATCTACGGGGACAGGATGAGCGCTGTAAGTTCTCCCCTCATTTTATGAGTATAAAAACCATTCCATCGGTAACAACTAATCGGCAAAAGCGACAATTTTTGACGATAAGAAAGTGTCTTTAAAACCGGTCCAAGTCAAGGGATTAATAAATATAGACATAGTTTATTTTGAAACCTCTTTCAAAAGGAAAGGCAATATTTACCCAGATAAATACAATGACATATTAACAGAAACTTCGGGAAAGCAGACAAAACCTAAAATAAGGTTTAAAACGTTACTATGAAGAAAGGAAAGTTAATGCAAAGATAAGGACATGCGTCGCTCTCTCATAGATATATATGCTGCTAGACTTCTACTGCTTGAACATATATGCAACACGCCGCGGTTTCTTGGAAGAAAAATGCTCAATAACGCGCTGATTAAAGTCATGCATCCCAGAAATAACGTCTCTGTGAATGGATAAAACAGCCAATCTATCTTGCTTCATTGTGTTTGTGAGATACGTTTTAATACGCTTCAGCGTGCTGAATGTTCGCTCTGCGTCGGCGGAAGAAATAGGCGTCGTCAAAATGATGTCCAGAAATTTTGCAGACGCCGCAAAGGTAGTTACTAGAGTGTTATCTATGAGGAACCCATAGAGCGCGCAAGTTGATGTGATGTTCAAAAAAGTTTGATTGGTGTATATACATCGCAATTCATTTTCCAATTTACCCACGTTTATCATGGGGTAAAATTTGGAGACAGTAGCCAACAAATGGATGGGAAATTGACCTGCAAATTTTGAAAAATTTTTGGGGTTCATCAAAGAGAACGCGGCAAGGTGTTCAGTGCGCAGACGATCGCCTATTTGATTCACCAGAATGTCACAGCATTCATTTGCAGACAAAATCAAACGCTGGGTGTTTGCCCGCGGCCTAAAGAAGCACTCCATGTGTCGTCGTATTTTATTGTTTCCCGGATACGAGATACAGCATCGCAGAAGTCTGAAATACACGACTGCACAGACGCTCCATCCATTAGCCTTGACTGCAATGTGCCGTATAATACATCCACGCGATAGAATATTGTGGAGAAAAAATGAAAACTCACCATCTTCTAGCAGACGCTTTAGACCTGCCGCCTCCCTCACAGAGCGTTCGTCCCAAACCGGAGAGCTCTGAATGTCATTGAAACACTCAATGAGCTCAGACCTAATTTTGGACACGCCCTGCACCACGCGTGATTGGAAGTTCCAACGTGTTGGTGCACAAGTTGGAAGACGGCGGCTACATATCTGGCGAAGGAGGTCAGAGCGCTTCGGCGAAACGGAAAAAAAATGAAGAAAACCCCGGAACAAACACGCACAAGACACATATTTTTAATAACGAGGTTAAATTGGTGTGCATAACAATGTAAAAAATGCGCATGAGAAAAATCTTCTTTTATA